TGATCCCCAGCCACTGCAGCACATGGAGTTGCCAAAATGGTTTACACGATCTCTGAGAACATACAAACAATGGTTTTTAAGATCTCTGAGAACATATAAACAATGGTTTACACGATCTCTGAGAACATACAAACAATGGTTTTTAAGATCTCTGAGAACATACAAACAATGGTTTTTAAGATCTCTGAGAACATATAAACAATGGTTTACACGATCTCTGAGAACATACAAACAATGGTTTTTAAGATCTCTGAGAACATACAAACAATGGTTTTTAAGATCTCTGAGAACATACAAACAATGGTTTTTAAGATCTCTGAGAACATATAAACAATGGTTTACACGATCTCTGAGAACATACAAACAAAGGTTTACAAGATCTCTGAGAATGTACAAACAATGGTTTACAAGATCTCTGAGAACATACAAACAATGGTTTACAAGATCTCTGAGAACATGCAATGGTTAACCAAAAAATGTCCTTTCTGTATCTACAACAATTGTCTCAAACAAGGTCAAGATCCAATTCCAAGGCCAAAGGCCCCCAAAAGATGTCATCATTAGTGTTGTCTTATTGCAAATATATAACACCATCACCTGGAGTCAGCTTGCAGGACTGAATAAGATGCAATGATAATATACTTTCCTTAAAACAACTTTAAAAAGCTAATTTTTTCTGCTGACAGTAGAAATCTCCATGATGATCCCCAGCCACTGCAGCACATGGAGTTGCCAGGAGACTGATGATCCCCAGCCACTGCAGCACATGGAGTTGCCAGGAGACTGTGATGATCCCCAGCCACTGCAGCACATGGAGTTGCCAGGAGACTGAGATGATCCCCAGCCACTGCAGCACATGGAGTTGCCAGGAGACTGTGATGATCCCCAGCCACTGCAGCACATGGAGTTGCCAGGAGACTGTGATGATCCCCAGCCACTGCAGCACATGGAGTTGCCAGGAGACTGTGATGATCCCCAGCCACTGCAGCACATGGAGTTGCCAGGAGACTGTGATGATCCCCAGCCACTGCAGCACATGGAGTTGCCAGGAGACTGTGATGATCCCCAGCCACTGCAGCACATGGAGTTGCCAGGAGACTGTGATGATCCCCAGCCACTGCAGCACATGGAGTTGCCAGGAGACTGTGATGATCCCCAGCCACTGCAGCACATGGAGTTGCCAGGAGACTGTGATGATCCCCAGCCACTGCAGCACATGGAGTTGCCAGGAGACTGTGATGATCCCCAGCCACTGCAGCACATGGAGTTGCCAGGAGACTGTGATGATCCCCAGCCACTGCAGCACATGGAGTTGCCAGGAGACTGTGATGATCCCCAGCCACTGCAGCACATGGAGTTGCCAGGAGACTGTGATGATCCCCAGCCACTGCAGCACATGGAGTTGCCAGGAGACTGTGATGATCCCCAGCCACTGCAGCACATGGAGTTGCCAGGAGACTGTGATGATCCCCAGCCACTGCAGCACATGGAGTTGCCAGGAGACTGTGATGATCCCCAGCCACTGCAGCACATGGAGTTGCCAGGAGACTGTGATGATCCCCAGCCACTGCAGCACATGGAGTTGCCAGGAGACTGTGATGATCCCCAGCCACTGCAGCACATGGAGTTGCCAGGAGACTGAGATGATCCCCAGCCACTGCAGCACATGGAGTTGCCAGGAGACTGTGATGATCCCCAGCCATTGCAGCACATGGAGTTGCCAGGAGACTGAGATGATCCCCAGCCACTGCAGCACATGGAGTTGCCAGGAGACTTTCTTTATAGCACTGTTTGGTAACTGACAGTACCTCACAACCTTACCCCTGTTTAATCATAGAATCATGTTTTAACAAATCTACAATCCTGATTTGACAAACATCTCTCCAGCAATAATGAAATGTAGATGCAACATTCAAAATATGCAATAGAAACAAGAAAAGACACAACACAATAAGATCTTTAAATGATTCAGATTGTCCTTTAGTTTCAACTTGCCACTGAGCCCCCCAAAATTTCAACCTGAAATGTTTGACAATCAGCTTATAACCCACTGCAGTTATACAATATATATGTTTACAACCACAGGACTTTTCTATGTCCATTTCAAGTGAAGTGATATCTACAAGTCAACATATCAGAACAGCAGTGGTCTAGTTCATAGAGCAAATAATGTCTTCAATACCATGCATTGTAAATGGAATCTGATTAATAAATCAATCAAGAATTTGGTCATTCTCATTTGCATAATTCATTAAATTGATAATTTAAAATAAAAAAAAAAAAACTCTCAAGCACAAAACAAGAAATTATGTTGGAATTAAAGCACATATTATTACAAAACTAAAAATACTTTCAACACCTTAAGTCTATATTTACAATATATACACTATAACGTCTGCAGGTAACCACTGATTATGACAGGTGAGTGAGTTGTTTTGGACCAATTTTTATTACAGTGCCATATTTTGAGCAGCTTTGCAATAAAATCCTATTTCCAAAATGTACAAGTCCAAAAGGTTTCACTGAACTCAGCATCTCTGCACAAGCAAGAAATATTACACGGATAGTAGTTTATTTCTGTTAAAAAATATTTGAGTAAATTTGTCACAATCACAATTTTTGTTTTATAAGTAGAATAAAAACATTGGAATGAAGTTTTTCAATAAATTATAGAATTCAGATCAACCAGTTGCATGTTTAGACCAACTGCTACTGTCCCCGGTTCTGATGGAGGAGCATCCAACTCCTCCACACTAGGACGCCCCAAGCATCAAACTACGTGTAGTGACATAAACACCCACCTCCTATTTTTAAAATAATAAAATAGAAAGTCTTTTAAAACAAGCAAGCAATAATAGCATGTGTAGATGCTAAAGAGTTGGGATAAATGTTATCTGAGTAATGATTTGGTCAACGTTTACTTTATGTGAGCTCTACGAGCCACCCATATATTTTACATACAAACTCATTTGTAAGTTGAGAGGGGGGGGGGGGTTGTGCCAAATATGCCTAGGGGCAAAAGGGAGAGGGAGCATGTAAAGATGACATTTTTTGCCTCAGTTCTATATGGATGGCCCCTTAATCCTTGAACTACATATCATTCTAAATAAATATCAATAAATAATTGCACAGCCCATATGAGGAAAATTAAATTACAGGAAACATGATCTCTAGTCCAATCTGTAATAACAAAATATGCCTTGTCGAATGGGCAATGACAAGATGTATATCTAATGAGAAATAACATCTCCATCACCAAAATTTTTTAATAAAACCACAGAAGTAACAAACAAGATAAATTAAAAAATCTTCTCTACATGAATATTGCAAAAACAATGCCAAAAAAGGTATTCCCAATAAACAGCAAAAATGGATAAGCATATCTTTTCACAGACACGCAGAACACACAATCAGCAAGTTTTAGGCAGCATCTGCAAGGCAACACACAATCAGCAAGTTTTAGGCAGCATCTGCTAGGCAAAGGTCAAAAATACTGCATAAAAAATTGTTAAAAGTTATAATTTTACTAAAGTTTTAGCCAACCAAATCTATTTAAAATAATTTTTCTTCTTCATGATTAACAGATTTATGCCTAAGAATGCCTAATTTGTACCGGCAATAGTCAAGCTCTTTTTATTATTTCTGTCATAAATTATATCAATAATTAACACTAATAACTAATAATAAACACTGACACCCGACAACATTGACACAAGACACCATGGAATTGCTGAACTGATCTCTGAACTGATAACCTGACTCTACAAACTGATAAGAAAAGTCAATGAAAAGTTAACTTGCCAAATTGTAACATGAGCATAAAACCTGCAACCAAACCGTGACTAGTGGCAGATGTAACTCAGCCAAGTCAGTGCAGACAAGATAAGTCAACAATAGTTACAACCAGGGCTGCCAATCAATTTTTTTTAAATTCCCAAGATTTGGTCAAAACATTTCCCAAGATCATGATAATATATAAGAGTTTTTTTTAAAAGGGGAAATTATCTTGGGAATTAAAAAAAAAAAAGTGAGTTTTTGTCCTGAATGGGTAGTGAATTCCCAAGATCTTGGGAAATTTCCCAAGGTGTGGCAGCCTTGTTTACAATTATCATTTCATGAGTGCAGCAACACAATGTAGGAAGCGGCTGTCCTGTGAGTGGGTGTGGACATAAGCTTTTATATTGTAGTAAATATGAGAAATCTGCCAATGTTTACATGGAGACTGAGATAATTTATAATTACTGGCATTAGAAAAATAAAGTTTGGATTTCAAAAAGTGGAGTACGTTAAATAATATGTGTTACTTTGATGAAAAAAGGATGAATTAAGATAAAATAGAATAATACTGGTTGACTTACACTTACATCAGAGTCCAACTGCAATTTTAAATCTTTGGCAATCAATGCACACCTAACAGATGCCATGTCAGAAGGAAACAGTAGGTACAAATAAAGACAAGATAATTGATGTAAGTCTCTACAAAATCAATCAACAGAAATAAAGTCATTATGTTACAGCAAGAAGGTAATCAAGAAAATCTGTCAGGATTACTTGATTGTCAATATCAAATAAAGTGAAACATCATGGAATCCTTCACAAAGAATGAGGGGAAAAAAATTCTTATTGAAGTCTTATATGGTACATCAATATTTCTAAACTGAAAAAGATACTCAAAGAAAATAAGTCAGATTGCAGAAAAGTATGCCTAATGCTTAAAATAGACATCTCTATAAAAAACAATATAAATAATATATGAACAAGAACAACAATTATAAATTATAATAAATGTAGTTTACATTGTAAAAAATCTCTTTACCACCAATTTTGCATAAATTATAACCAGATAATTTAAATATAAAAACAACATTTTAATGACCTAAATTTACTTTTCATCTGCAAATTCTAAATTTGTATCTAAAAAATTACCTACATCAGTGATTTTTAGTAAAACTTGGAAAAGTTAAAATAGTTGAAAAACAATAATAATAAATAAATAAGGTCCCGATCCCAGCTTCAATTTGCATAACTCCTGTATGTCTTTGTTTTATATCCACTCCATTCATAGTTACTATATAAATTGCATGTCAAAAATAATTTAATTTCATAGTGGAAAGAAAGAAAACTGCACATACAAAAATAAACAATTACTACTTTGACAAAAGAGATTTTTGATAAAAAGTCAATCAAGTAATTGAAATAAAAAACCTGATGAAAGACTCTTCTAATTATTTAGGTATGTATTTTATTGATCAAATCACTTTCAATTTAATTTTTGTTATTAAATGAGACTGCATTATTTAAGTTTTGAATGAACATGTACACAAATATTCATATCACAAGAGGCAGTTGATTGGCATGGAATTCCATGTTTTTACATCACCTCACAATCTTTGCCAGTGAAGCGGTAAATCTTTGCCGGTGATGAAGTCCGTTTTTGCCAGTCAAGATACCATTAATAAGGATTCTCGAGAGCCATTTTTTCATCATTCATAAGAAATTTTAAATTTCATGAGATGAGCTGGTCTTGATTTGTTTACCACCAATGATGCAAAGCATTTGCTAACCATGAACCTTCAAGTCTAAATGTCTGTCCTCAAGCTGCTACCAGCTGTGTGCGACGTTCAATCTCTTGTAAATGAAGTTGCAATCTCCTGTTCTCCTGTGAGAGTCTTGCAATCTCTTCGCCTAATGTGTCAAGGTTTTCCTGAAGAGCATATAATGAAATTGTTGAAAATGTTTCATGATTTTTGCAATTTCCTTGCAAGGATGTTCCTTCCTATAAATAATACTTAAGCAAAATGATTACCTAGCATAAGCTTAGGACAACATCGTAAAAATCATGGCTGTCCAAGGGCAACTATAACTGTTGATGAACTAGTTATTTCATATGCACAAAAATACACATGTTACACAAAACAATTTGAAAAAGTTTTACAATTAATTGAAACGTTTGAAATTCCAATACTGAAACTCCTTCTACACGAGATTTTCTCTATAAAATTTATCAGCATTTTAAAACTTTGTAAGTTGTAGGGTCAAGATAAACTGAAGAGCTCTAAATTTCAACCTTACTTTAATTGGGGCAACCTGAACAAAATAATTTATTGTTATGACAATGCCTCCAACTTAAAACACAAAAGTCCAAAGGAGATGTTTAGTGCGCAGTTCTTCTTCAAAGCTTTTATAGTTATAATAAAGTTTCAAATTTTTTTAAAAAAATCTTAAAGAAAGACGGTTTGCCAGCCGCTATCATTTTTATCACAGAAATGTTATCCTTTTACTTCAGTGATGTTTTTGTCTTAATATTGCTATTTTTATAATGACAATCATTTTTTTTTTAAATTCAAGAACTGAGTTCAAATAATGTTCAATGCATCTCTGATTATGTTAGTCTGTTTCCGCTAAGACTTAAGAAGAAAAGCTAAGTGGGCGGCCACACGATGATTTATAAACAATGTATTAAAGCTGCTTTGGAATCAAGATTTCGATCCCTCTGGTGGGGCAGAACGCAAACATTTCCAAATGTTTAATTTCATTTTTTCACACAACAAAAAAAAAACACAACAAAAAACAAAAACAAACAAAATGAAAATAAAACAGGATTGCTTTCAACGAAAATGACTACCGGTACCTAAAGAAGTATAATGTTTGGAAGGCAATGTCATAATTGTATCATGGAATATTAAGAAAGTAGCATCCGCACCTTGAGAGTTATATTCTTGAGCAAAGTATCTTCCAACACTGCCTGAAGCTTCTTATTGATCTGCAGAGAGAGGTCAAGGGTCAGTGTCCCGTCTTGTTGATGAACTGAGTAAACTGAGGCCATTATTCCACCCTTGCGAGCAAGTAGTGTCTGAAAGTAAAGTCAATCACAGCAATGGGAAGTTAAAAACTTGGAAAATGAATTAGCTGCGCAAACAAGAGCAACGAGTCTGGGTTAGTTATAGGGCCATGGGTCTCTGACTATGTTATTTATAGTAACATCGGCCATGGGTGTCTGTCTCTGTTATTTATAGTAACATAGGGTCATGGGTGTCTGTCTGTGTTAGTTATAGTAACAGTGGGCCATGGGTGTCTGATTATGTTATTTATAGTAACATAGGGCCATGGGTGTCTGTCTGTGTCAGTTATAGTAACATAGGGCCATGGATGTTTGTCTGTGTCTGTTATAATAACAGGGCCATGGGTGTCTGTATGTGTTAGTTATAGTAACAGGGCCATGGGTGTTTGTCTGTGTCTGTTACAGTAATAGGGTTCTGTGTGTATGTCTGTGTCAGTTACAGTAACAGGGCCATGGGTGTCTGTCTGTATTAGTTACAGTTACAGGGGCCATGGGTGTCTGTCTGTATTAGGTTATAGTAACATAGGGCCATGGGTGTCTGCCTGTGTTAATAATGGTAGCAATGAGTCAAGTGTGTCTATTTTATGGATAATAACAGAGGACCATGGGTGTTATAAAAATTATTTATAATAAATTTTGATTGAATTTTGGCTTCTGTAAATGAAACCATTTGAAATAGTGGCTGATAGTATAGTGTATTCTTTTATTAAATGGGAGACAGTAGCAAAGGAAATGTATTTATTGTGCCCCAGGAATGATCCCACACAATCCTTCTAGTCTTTCATGTACAGAACACAGACTTTTGTGTGGATGCAAACAAACAATATTACATGCTTCTTTTATTTGTGTTAACATTCATTAAAAAGGAATGTACAGAACATATATCACAATTAATGTTAGTCTTTATTAGCCTCAACACGTCATAACAAGGGACCTGTTGGTTAACTTGAACACTGTATATTTTTATGTTGTTTTTAGTTGTTTATTCACAAGAAAATTAGATATGCTTAGTAAAATACAGTTTCTTTGAAAATGAGTGGTCCATGTATTGCAAATATCAACTTCCAGGAAGAATGTATGTTATTAGTTATTTCCATTGAGTTCAAGTTACAATAATATGCATATTGATCCAATATCTTTTGCAATAACTTCTATGCACTCAAAGGAAAGTAACACAAAATTATTAACACCATGTCATAATTCCCACACTAAAGTTGTGAAAGACAGACTTGGTCAATATAAAAGAGTAGAACATGTTGTTGCACATATTTTTGAGGGGACTGCCATATTTCCACATTCTACAAAAAAACAATAAGCTACTGTACTAAAAAGGCTCGAAACATTAAAGCAATGAAGGCAACAGAGACTGAAGTTACAAAATAAATCAAGGTAATGGAAAGTAAAACACATTTTAAAAGTAATAAAAGTTTGTAAAAAAAGGGTGTCAACAAATAAACAGTTTTTAAGTGCTCTGGAAATTTAAAAAGACAATTAAAAGAATTTATGAATGAAACAAAAAATTTGTAGAAATGTTTTAGCCAAAAATATTCCTAATTCCACAGTGCTAATAAATATTCATTGCTTAAAAAGACAACTTAGTATATAGCTTTTTAAATCAGTTTTCATGCATGAAATTAAAATATTGATTATTTTCATTGCATGTATTTTCAAATTTAAGGAGAAGTTCCTGAATATAACATGAATCTATAAAAATTCCTAACATTCTTTAAGGGGAAAATATATTACATGCTGCTACAGAGATCCAGTATAAGTTTTAATTTCCCTTTTAAACAAATAAGGGGTCATTCACAAATTACGTCACGCAAAATAGACCTTTTTAGACCCAACCCCACCACCACCCCTGTCACAAAGTGTCACAAATTCTTTACCCCTCTTCTCCCCCCCCCCCCCCCCCCCCCCCCCCCCCCCCCCCCCCCCCCCCCCTTAGCTTCACTTCACACCTAAAAATTTTTTAAAATACATAAAATTTTTATAACTAAACTAAGATTTCATTTTATTCTTTAACATTTTCCCATAATGGATTAAGATGTATTATTAGAAAACTGTGAGGCAAAACAACGAAGTCCTCCACAAGCCGAATGTCGAATGTAAAATGGCCAAAACAGTTTTTGCATCATTTTTCAATATGCACAAAAGGTTTTCACCATACCTATAATACCTGAGGCGATTTTGACCTCAAATCAATGTTTTTACAATTAATTGAATAAAGATTTTTCGAAATCAGAAAATTTTAGATTGTAAAAAAAAATATTTATTTTTTTTTAAAAATTAAAAATCATGACGTCATAAAATGTTTGACAACCCACACCTCCTTTGTAAACAAATTAAATAC